CAGGGAGTCTGCTTCTCCCTCTGACCCTCCTCCCTCTCATGCTCTCTGTCTCTCATTCTCTCTCTCGCAAATAAATAAAATCTTAAAAAAAATTTAAAAATAAATAAATAAATAAAAGTTCCCTGGCTTTACAAAGTTTGGGAAACACCATATGTTATATTTCCCTCTTGGAAATTCATAATAAATATATCACATGATATTAAGGTCTTATATTAGAGAAATGTTTAACTTCATTTGGCCCATTTCCAAACTCATTTGACCATGGAATCCATTTGCCCATTTAGCAGCTATTAACATTCCGTAGAGCCAGTGTTCCACGGACCACACTTGAGAAGTGCTATATTGAACTGCTTGCTTTTGCAGGTTAACTAAAACAGACTTATTCAGGTTTCCTCCCACATACGCTTGTCATGTCTCAAGGCCCAGATTTGAGGCTGGGCACCATTTTGTAGCATAAAATCAGTGGCTCCATAAGCAAAAGAAACCTTATTCTTATCACACACTGCTCTACCAACCAAGTAAGCAAAGATAATAGGACTTTTTCTTTATAGATAGATACCAACAAAAGGGTGCTGTTGTAGATACACTACCACCCAAAGAAAAGATATCAAAGCTCAATATGAACTAAATTCTGACTTTTCTTGAATGTACTCATTGTTGTCATATACTAACAAATACAATGAGAGATTCCAGCCTCCAAGTCTGGAGAAGAACTTGAAATCCAAATCTGGCAATGCTTTGGAAATCTATATTATGATCATCTTTAAAAAATAATATACAGGCCATCTTTAAAACAGCATTTTTATAGAGACAGTGGAGTATACAGAGAGATATACCTGGACTAAGCTCAGAAGAAACACAAATAAAAGGTAATTTTTATTATTCTTGTAATCCAAAAATACAATTTTTTTTTCAAAAATACAATTATTTTAAATTATGTACTAACCCCTAGGGATCAATGCAAGGACTTAGGAATTGTCTAGATTTCACAAATCAAGGAATAAGGACTACTCCTTTGCACTAATAACAACAATGAAGACAGTAATGATGGGTACCTTTTATTAATGGTCTATCTGCTGGACACATATAATGACTTACTTCATCCTCACCATAATCCTAAACACAGGGATTATTTCCACCTGAGAGTCAAGTCACCTTGGCTGAGGAGGTGGAGCTGGGATTTAGGCCTTACTCTCCTGTGACAGTGCACTGCCTTCCCTAACATGCATGTGTTTGAAAAGAATAGAACATACTTATTTCCAGCATCCTCTCCGCTGACCTGATTTCCATCGATAATTGTAAATGAACCAATACCTGGAAGACAAAACAGAGTCAGTCAAGGACACATAATTTCTAGTTCAAAACTGTATGGAGTAAATTTACTACCACAAAACTACCTTACCTGGTAGTACCAAGTTTTTAAGAATTTCGGTTCCTGTGGCTGTTGCATTTATTAGGCAAACATGAGCAGATTCTAAAGCCTCTTGCCCATGATCACCCCACAACCTACAAAACAAGACACAAATTCAACACTTCTAAAACTTCCACACAAATCCAACTTTCTTATTTGGATGGTGATCTTTGATCTTCAAAGTGTTCTTGCACAGAATGGCTGATGTGATAACCACAGTAAACATGTGAGACAGGAAGAGCAGCAGGTGTTACGGGGACTATAGCTGAGTAACCTAAGATTCAGACAGGCTGATGCTTTGCATGATTAGAAGGGGGTCAAATCAGTACTAAAAACTTGGGTCTTCCAGCTCCTTGTCCATTACTCTTTTCAAGCCAGATAACTTATAGAACAGATATATTAGATATATTCATTAACATTAAAGAACTGCCTTAGACTTAAAACCCATTTGATCCTCTATTTCATTTCTCCTTAAATTACACAGAGCCAGTATATTTAAGATCTTGACATAGAATTTATCACTGTGACATCTCCAAGAGTGATAAAAGCTTTACCAAGAAAACTGAATTATTGTCATCTGGACAGCCTCATGTTGACTTCTATAGGAGTGCTTTAAAATATAAAACCCAATGCTCATTTTAATAGCATGATTAATAAATGCATACATTATCAAACACAAAGATATAATAAGAATCAGAAATATACGTTATAACCTGATTCACACTGGCATATCATTAACAGGGCAAGGTGCATGATCACACATGCATCATGGCATCTGGCCCAGTCTGGTTACCTTCACTCAGAAAGCCTTTTATCCTTCCTTGTCAGTATGGGAAGTATGAAAATCATTAGAAAAATGCCACAGTCTGGAGGACTGACAGGCTTTAATGTGCTTTCCCTATCACCTGATCAAAAACAGATGCCCTGTTATTGCGTAGCCAGTATGTCCTCCAGAGCATATCACAACTGTAACTATTTCATTTGGTTTTTTATTTGAGGAACATCCATCTCTCCATTCCACTCTAAACTCCATGAGGGCCCAGATAACTCCCTATGTGCACCCCTGGAACCGCAAATGCCTGGCACGCTGCCTTGCCCAGAGGAAGTGATCACTGAACAGCTGTCAAATGAATGGAGGAATAGCCTAGAAGAACCAGACAGACGGGAAACATCTGTTTTTTCTCTATGAAAGTAGGGCACACACAAGACACTGATAGATTTGGTTGATGGATGCTTGGGTACTCAGATAGTGAGCCTAAGAGAATACTGGTGCATCTCTAGGTAAGGCGTTTCAAGAAAGAGGCCGGACAAGAAATCAATCCTCTTTGCTCCCATGCTGGCCTAACTATGGAGAGCACGGCCTGGTTGACTCCTGCCTGGCTGTACAACTTTGCTTCTAGCAGCCTCCCTCTGACATTCCAAAACCGATAACCAATTCTCACTATGCAAAGTAAAATTTGGTCCTTAACTGGATGGGACTCAGCAAAAATTCTCAAATTTGAATTCTCAAATTCAAAAATTTTAATAACCTAAAATATCTTCTCAGCTCTTTCTTGTATGGTTATATCTGAATTCAAAACACAAGCAATGCTAAGAATTTACAAAAGAACACAAGTTGGTTACAAGGGCTCTGTGTCACTTTGCTTCCTTTCCCAGAAGCTTGGGAGCAGAGTGATGTGACTGAGAACAAGCTCTGAAAAAGCCAGAAGGGCCTATGTTTACATCCTGGCTCAAATACATGGGAGACTCTGGACAAGTTATCTAAGTTTCTCCAAGACTCCATTTCCCCATCTATAAAGCCAAGAGAATGTCTGCCTTCAATGCTGCTCTCAGAATTAAGTGCCTGAAGCCCCTAATACAGAACTAAGCTGTAGGTGCGTATGGGAGTTCCAGGGGACATATAGGGACATACTGTAACTTCTCCCGGCTTGGCGGGGGGGGCGGTTTCCAGAAAGGATGAGGGCCAAGCATTTGTGTTACTTCCACTGCCTTAACACATAGACGATGCTTAATAAATAAGGAATGGGGTGTGTAAGGAGAAAAGGCAAGGTAGAGGAATTAGCCAAGGACCTGCCTAATGGCTTAGACCTGCAGTGTCCACTAAGGTAGCCATTAACCACATTTGGCTACTGAACACTAAAAATGAGGCTAGCTGGTCGGAACTGGGATGTGCCTACAAGTGTAAAATGCCAGATTTCGAAGACGGCATGAAAAAAGAGGTAAAAAAAAAATCCCTAATAAATGTTTATATTGATTAAGTGTTAAAATGGTAATATTTTGGATATATTGGGTTAAAGAAACTGTATAAAAATTAATTTCACCTGTTTCTTCTTTTTAATGTGGCTACTAGAAAATGTGTAATTACATATGCGGCTCACACAGGACAGGCATTATATTCCTACTGGACAGCGCTGGCTCAGGACAATCCCTAACACTCGGCGCTGCTCGGGGCGGCCGGGATGGGGTACACCCGATCCCCCAATTCTGCTAAATGAGGAGTAAGCGCCCAGCGGGGCGGGGCCGGCTGCCGCCCTGGTGACCCGCCAGACACTGGGGCGGCGAACCTCGAACTGCACACCGCGTGGCGGGCGGGCGGGCGCACCCCTCGGAGAAGGAGAGTTCCGACCCTCAAGGGTCACCCCGGGGCCCCAGGCCGGGGAGCCCCGGAAACCGGCTCCCCAAGCCCAAGACTGCCCGGCCCGGCCCAGCCGGAGGCCTGGAAGAGGCCCGACCGCGCCGCCCGCTCGCTTAGGCCCGGCCGGGACGCAAAGGAGCCCGCCGGCCGGCCCGCCCAACTCGGTGAGCCCTGGCTCACCTCAGCTGCCGGTCGTACTTCTGCTCCTTGAGCAGCTTCCCCGGTTGCGCCATGGCCGCACCCGCCGCGCGAACAGCCGAGCCCCGGCAGAGCACCACCACCACCTCCACCAGCACGCAGGCGCACTGAGCGCCCCTTCGCCGCCTCTGCCGCCCGCGCGCCGCCCGCAGGGGGCGCCACCACCTCACTGCGCACGCGTCGCCAGTCCGCCTGGGAGTACGCGACCACAGCCCATAGCCGGAACCCGGACAGAGGCGGGTCTTTACCCTATACTGCAACCCTCCTAGTCCGCCAGTCTGTGTCTTTGTACATGCGGTAATCGTGGGGCACTCGGGCTCTGGAATCCGGCAGATTTGGTTTTTAACCACTTACTATTTATGATATCTGCTCTTTACCTCTCAAATCCTCTGTTTGTTCATCTGTGCAGTGGGGATAAATGGGTCTCCAGCACCGGCTCCTATTAGCCTTAAATGAGATCTTGAATACACACAGAGCCAGACTCACAAAAAATCCTGTGTGGATAATAACTTTCATTATTATGGTCATTATTGTTCACTTATTTCTTCCATCCTCTCATGCAACAAGCCCACGCGAGGTCCTGTTTCAAACCACAAAGTTAGCTGCTCCCAGCTGCAGATAAAAAGACAAATATGTCCGCGGCCCTGTTCTTGAGAAGTTCACAGTCTCCAGAGGGGAGAGGGGACAGTAAGTAAGGACAATGTGGCCCTCCTATTAATAGAGGGAACCTGGGGTCCCGAAAGGTGCACAAAAGAACTCTACCCACTCCCCTTCTTCCCTCTCCAGGAAAGTTTCACATCGTGTGGGCAAGGAAGCATGTTTTTTTTTTTTTGCAGAGAAAGTATGGTCTTTTATTTTTTTTATTTTTATTTTTTTATTGTTATGTTAATCACCATACATTACATCATTAGTTTTTGATGGAAGCATGTTTTAAGCAGAGGGAACAGCAGGTGTCATTCCTGGGAGGCAGAGAAGGCATGGTAGGATGGAGGGTCTAAAGGAAGTTTGGTGTGGTGGGGAGTTAGGTGAAGGGTAGGACATGGTCAGGCTAGGTTGTGAGGCCCTTGAATATAAAAGCAAGAAGGAATGTAAAGCCCTCTACTTTCTGAAAAGAGCCACTTTTCAAGAAGAGGATGGCTGCCCTGTGGGGATGGGTGCCAAGGAAGAGTTACCCCAAGAGAAAGGGGGAGAGGAAACTAGAAGCCAGAAGAGCAGCAGGGAGGGAGATGAAGATTCTTTCCCTTCTATCTCCCAGAGCCTACAGGCACCTTCAGGTTAATAATTGCCTGAAATAAGATGAAAATGAGCACAGACCCCTGCCCCTAAACACACCCTGGGATCGGATGGGAGGAGAGACAGTTTGATGGTAATGATGCAGTGGGATGATGGATGCAATTCCCCTGGATGCTGTCCCCAGGATCAGGGTGGGGCACACCCTCTTATGACTTCCCTGGTCCCTACCCAGCACCCATAGAATACAACTGATGGGAAACAAAGGCATGAGGCTTTCCCAGCACGTCGTGTGCTTATGCTGTCACATTTCCTTCTCCAGTTGGACAGGTGAAATATAAGGGATAATAAAATACACCCAAGGAATGTGGGAAGGTCAAAAGACAACAGGTAAGAGTTCACTGCTTAGCTTCTGATGTTCTTCATGGACTGCATGAAAGGAAACATCCCCAAATTTGGTGGGGGAAGTCATAATGCCTATGAAGAAATGTATGAATTTGACAAAGGTTTGTGTTGGGAGTGTCTGTAAAAAGATACGGCACAGTATTAGATTCCTAGAACTGCTGTAACAAAGTACCACAAACTGGGCGGCTTAAAACTATAGATACGTAGGGGCACCTGGCTGGCTCAGTCGGTAGAGCATGTGACTCTTGATCTTGCGGTTGTGAGTTCGAGCCCCACGTTGGGTGTAGAGATTACTTAAAAATAAAATCTGTAAAAAAAAAAAAAGATTCTTACATTAAAAAAAAAACCCTACAGAAATGTGTTGTCTCACAGTAAAACTTCAAGTCTGAAATCAAAGTGTGGGCATTATGTTTGTTCCCTCTGCAGCCTGAAGGGAAGAATCCTTCTTGGCCTTTCTAGCTTCTGGTGGTTGGCTGGCAATGCTCGGCTTACAGCTGCAACACTTCAATCTCCGCTTCCATGGTCACATGGTACCCTCCTCTCATGTCTCCGTCTGGATCTCTCCTCATAAAGACACCAGTCACATTGGATCAGGGCTCACCCTAAGGACCTCATCCTAACTTGATCTCATCTGCAAAAACCCTATTTCTAAATACTGTCACATTCACAGGTACTAGAGGTTAGGACTCAGCAACTTTGGGAGGAGGGGAGGACCCAATTCAACCCGTAATAGCATGTAAAGGTGCCTGTGCTGGATCTGTGGAGGTTGATCAGACCCAAACCTTGCCACCTGAGAACTGAGGGCCCACTGATGACCTATTCCTATTGTGGAGGTCAGAGAATAAAACTAGGAATCAAACTGGGAAACCATGGCCTCATTCAGTGAAGCCATTGGTTTTCAAAGGGCGGTCCTGGACCAGCATCATCATCATCACCTTGGAACTTGTTAGAAATGCAAATTCTGAGGCCTCATCCCAGACGGGCTGAATCAGAAGCTCTGGGGGTGAGGCCCAGGGAATCGTTTTAACAAGCCCTCCAGGTGATTCTGATGCACACTCAAGTTTAATAACCACTGACCTAGGGGTCCTGGCTCAGTCAGTTAAGCATCTGCCTTGGGCTCAGGTCATGATCCCAGGGTCCTGGGATCGAGCCCCACATCGGGGCTCTCAGCAGAGAGCCTGCTTCTCCCTCTCCCTCTGCTGTTCCTCCTGCTTGTGCGTTTTCTCTCTCTCTGTCAAATTAAAAAAAAAAAAATCTAAAAACAAAAAAAACACTGACCTAGACCAACCCCCCACTGAACAAAACAAGTGGGAAAACTGAGCCCTATAACCACAGTATTACCCCCACTTACTGAGCACTTACCATCTTCCAGGCAGGCCCTTGCCATGCATCACCTCATTTTGTGCTCACCCAATGCAACAGATACTGTTGCTCACCCCATTTCATAGACAAGAGAGCAGAGTCTTGGAGAGCCTTACATTAAAAGTGAGTACAATTCCAAAGCCTCACAGCTATTACAAGATGGTACGAGGATTAGAAACAAACACCCCAACAGATCTGGCCAGACCCCAGCTCAGATCTATTATTTTACCCGTCCTGGTTGGTCTTGGCTGGGGGAGACTGGATCCTTGGGCTCCCAGGCAGTTTGGGGCTAGCTCTGCCCTTGAAGAGCTTACAGTATGTGGGAAACCAGCCAGAAAGAATGAGTCACACCCCAGGACACCCTCCCTGGCCTCCACCACTATCTCTCCCTTCCTGTCCTTGCCTATCTTAGCCCTTTTCATCCTGGTGCTCTTTGGCCAATTTCTTGTCTTTCTCACTTACCCCTCCCCTGAGGCAGGTGTGGCTCTATAATGTTCACAGTGGTATCACCCATGCCTGGCCCAGAATGTGGCATTAGTAAGTCTTCAATAAATGCGTATTGAACAAAAGAATAAATTTTGAAAACTACTTCCACCATACTTTCTCATTTTCAAATGCCTTACTGGCAATACATATATCATTGGATTTGGTAATTCCACATTTAGTAATTTGTCCCAAGGAAATTATCAGACACACATGCACAGATGTATACATAAGAATGTTCGCTGTAGTGCTATTTACCATAGTGAAAACTGTAAATAATCTATACATTAGAGCATTGTGCAGTTATTGAGTGCGAAGTTCTCCAAGGCTGATCGTGCAGAGAAATGCTTACCATAGGGCATTAGGTGAAAAAGCTGGTCACAAAGCTATACATATGATTCTGATTGTTTTTTCAGCACTACTAATACATATCTAAAAAGCCTGGTAGATGGTCACTAAAATGTTAACAGTTTTGGTTCTTAGGTAATAATATGTTCAGTGGTTTTAATTTTCTTCTCTGTGTTTTTCTGAATCTTCCAAGTTTTCTACAATGAATAAGGTGTCACTCTTATAATTGCAAAAGGAGTATTTGGGATTCTAAATGTGCCCAACAAGCTAAGGAAAAGGGGAAGGAATAGAGGTTCTAGGGTCTAAGGAGTACATCCTTGACACCAGGAGTCTCACAGATATCATGTTACCTGACCATCCTATTAGCCTCCTAGACTCTCATTCCCATTTTATAGATGAGAAGACAGGTTCAGAGAGGTAAAGTAACTTGCCCCAGGTCCCACAGCCAGGTATGCTGGGAGCCATATCAGGGCTCATTCCATCCCACTGTTTGTACACATATACATACATACATGGAGTGGAAATTTTTTTTAAAAAATACAAAAAGCTCCAATTTTGCTTTTAGAGTCTCCAGGCCACAGGGCTTATGGGCCTGGCCTGTGGGTCCTATGCATAACATACAGTGACAGAGTCATATACAGTACATAGGACTCTACTTGTTGGAACAGCATTGGACATCTGTTGTCTCAACCAATACTCACAGGTTCCCCATGAGGTGGGCAGGGAGGGACAATCTCCTCATTACCTTGTAGAGCAAAGGCATTGTACCTTTGAGAGAGGAAGTGAGATCTGGTCAAGGTCACTTGATGAATGAGATATGGCTGTGTAAGCTGCTTCTGCCCTCCTCCCCCTTCTCCCCCCCCCATTTATCATAGCCCTCATACCACCCACCCCCTGCCCATGCTCCTCCTCCCTTATAAACAACAGTGAAATCCAGGAGCCACTAATGCCAGTGAGACCAAAGAGTAAATTTCTGGGCAGTGAAATCAATTCATTTTTAAAGACAGCACATAACTGAGACAGGAGGCACCTGAATGGGGGTATCGTCTTTCCCAAGTTGACCGGAATGGGCTGCTGGGGTAACGGGGGCTTCACCTGAAATGGGCAGAAACGGGCAGAGTGCATCGGCTCCTCTCACCTGCCTGAGTGCCCAGCACTCCAGAACCCGGAGAAAATTGCTGGGTACAGGAAGGAAAGAATTAGATCAACTTGTATGTGGTTGTTAAAGAGGTAATAGTTTCTTCCAGAAGGTACAAAGGAGTAAGCCTTAGTGTCCCTCCCACCCCCA